TTATAAAAAAAACATATGTGAATCATCTTTTTACTATATAATTAGGGAACTCACTTTCTTTTTTTAGAAAGTTCACTTTGAGGGTCCCACTAAATATATTCTAATTTAGGAAAGTCTGAAAACTGCAGGCACACGTGTTTTAACACGTGTGCACGTGTTGAGAACTCATTTAACCGTTCCTATAATTTTTAAATTTTTTCCTTTACTAGCAAAATTTCCGCAACTCATCAATAGAATGAATAACTGCTTAAACAATTTCGTTTATCTATAATCAATAATTTATATAAAATATAAATCTGTATCGTACATAATAACTCTTCAAAAGTCCCTTTTTTTCTACATTTTCAGATACAATTTTAATAAATAATTTTTTGTTTCATAACACGTCAATACATGATTAACTGCCACATATGAGATACATTTTAATCATTTGTAGTTAACAAAAACTAATTCATAACACAACAGTAGTATGCTTAACTGCCATGTGAAAGATTTTACAAACATTTTTAGTTGTCGAAAAAATTTTAGTCACACATCAACAGGACGAATAAATAATTGCCACGTATGACATATTTTTAAACATTAATAATTTATTTAAATAATTTATTTTTATACTTCCCGTGCATTTGCACGGACCAGAAGACTAGTTTTAGTAACAAAATTTGAATCCCATTTTTTGGTAACAAGATTGGAGATTCTTATGCCAAAATTCGAATTTCATTTTTTTTGTATCATTTTTTATTTTTTTTTACCAAAATCTGAATCTCATTCTTTTTGATAGCAAATTTGGAGATTCTTATACAAAAAATGAGTCAATTATTGAAGGAATACAAATCTTAATACAAATTAATTTAAAAACCGTGCAAATTGGATACAAATTTAGGAAAAAAATATTTCAATGATTCTTAAAAAATTGTTCCAATATTTTAATATGTGAAAATTTGATAAAACTACGTGCTATTTTTATTTTAAAACAAAATTGAGATTTAGATAGGCTATACATTCAAAATCGTATCCACAGTTTTTCGTAACAAAATTGGTTTACTTTGATATTTAAAGTCAAACCTTATCCCATTATTTAGAAAAAAATTCCAATCAATTTCAAAATTGTGTACAACTTTTATTAGGAGAAATCGTGTGCAACTTTTCAAAATTTGAATGCATCGATTTTTTTTGAATTTTATGTTTTTTCTTAACCATGTTTTACAGAGATTTTAGTAAGTCCATATCAATTTTTTTTGTTAAGTTCATATCAATTTTTTTTAGGAAAGAAACATTTACATAAATCTTAACAAATTATTTCGATATTTTATTAGAATTGATTTCAATTCAATTTGTTTGGTAAAAAAATTGTTGAAATGTTAGGAACATTTAGTTGCATTGTTAGAAAACAATTGATGATTTTTTCACTTAGTTTCAACCGAATATTCGGATCAATTTGTTTGGTAAAAAACTATGTGTATTGGTAGGAAAATTTCGTTTCATTTTTAGAAAAAGAAAATAAATAAATAATGTTTATAGTGTATATTGATTGATTGCAATGAACTTGAATTGAGATTTAAGATTTGGAGAATTTTCAAAAGACACATGAACATTATTATATTCGCAGCGAAGACAAATTGATAGAAAGAGTGGGGAAGCCTTACGGATTTTGTTCTTTCTTACCCCTTTATGAAGAATTGTAAAGGACCGCTTTTATTCATAACGACTTTTGGGGAGTCCGCCTATAAATAATTTTGACTCAAATTATTTGCTAATTAGGTACTTAAATTTATTATTATTATTTATTACGTCATCAAATTAATATTACTAGGTGTCCACATTTAATCATTCCACAATTTAAATTAAATTCTTTAGCTAATAATCACTACAAAAATATTGTTCTATTCCAACTAGGGGTGAGCAACGGCGCAGTTCGGAAAAAAACTGCACCGAATCGCAAACCGAACTTAGTAAAAAAAATAACCGAGCGACACTGCAATATAGAAAAAATTCGAACAAAAATTTTTTTTACACCAAAATAACCGAACCGAACCGCACCGCACCGAAATGCATGGTTCAGTTCGGTTTTCGGTTTTATCTCTTTTTTTATACATTTTATACAATTTGGTGTGGTTTGATGCAATACCGAACCGAACTGAACAAAATCGAAAACTGAACTTATGAAAAACTATAACCGCACCGCACTGCAATGTCGGAAAAAACCAAACCGAAAATTTTTTACAATAAAAAAATCAAACCGAACCGCACCGAATTGCATGGTTTGGCTCGGTTTTGCTCACCCCTAGTTCCAACGGAAAATTCTACGATAATACATTCCAATAAAAAATAAGAAATATTTTAATGGCATAGCTTCTGTTGGATTGAGTTTTATATTTCTAATGGTTTTTTACTGTAGAAATTTCCGTTGGAATTTTTATTTCCACCCGCGTTGAAAAATCTACTGTTGAAATCGTCAAAATCCAACGGAAATTCTAATAGAAAATTCATTCTAACATAATATTTTTGTTGAAATTTTCATGGAAATGCATTAGAAAATTCCAAGGGTAGAATTGGAATACCCAATGGAATTCACTTAATATATTTCCATTGGAATTTTCTTCTGTAATTTTATCATTTTTTTGTAGTGATTTCTATACAATAATTTGATCACTTAATTTGGCTAAACAATATAATGATCCAAAGTATCACTTATAAATATTTAATCCCAAATAGATATAACACTACGTACATACACAAGCTTGGGCTCGACCGCGACCTAGTCCTGTCGGGCGCGCTCCACGACATGTACGCAAAGCATGTGAGCATACGGGAGATCTCGCAAAATCTTTCACGAGCTGGCACAAAAGAGCCAGGTGGTGTGGACAACCGTCCACAATTATATAGCTGCACAAGATTTGTACCTTTCGACTGTGCTGCTCGCTGGATTTAAAGAATAACTGTGCGCGAATGTTGTACACATATTGCTCTCTGCTGGAATCACGGTTTATAATGGTGAGGCACGGCATGAATCAGCCCGGGAAGTCTTTATGAGGAGTTATCGGGCTGGGCCACCTGGCCATCAAGTTAGGGAAGGATTTTGGGCTGAAGGTGTGTTTTCGAGCACCAGCTTGTCCAAGAGGATGAGGCCCTCAATCTCCTCTCATTTCCAGCGGATAAAGGTAAATAAAAAGTTCTTTCGCTTTTTGCTAAGTTGTGCGGTTAGTTTTAAGACTTCTGTTGTTGATTACCACTATTAGTTACCGTGTCTTGGTCGAACAAGTCTCTTGGTTCAAAAGTCAAATCTCAATTGTTTTTTTCTTTTTAGACTTTTTTCAATCAATAATTTCGGTTTCCAATTCGTAGTTCAGAATTTTACAAGTAAATCAATTTTTTCCTTTGTTTATTTGTAATTTCACACCAATATACTGTAACATGGTTCTGTCATAGTGGTTCATGTTTTGGCTAGGATACTGTCTGGAAAATAATTAAACATGTGACAGATATGTTACAAACTATTGTAACTTTTTGGAGTAAGAAGCAACTAAGCCTTACTTGAAAGTTCTAGAGATTTTCTGAAAATCGTAAATAATAAGATTGGATTACTAAGTTCTAGAGGTTTTCCAAAATAGTAAATAGCAAGATTGGATATCTCCCATTCCCATTAATTTTTTAAAGTAGTATAAAGATAACCAGATGGATATTACCCACCTCTAATTAATTTTTGTATTTATTTTAAGTATACAAAGTACATAAATATCTCCTATGGTCTCCATTTTTCCACGGTTATATCTGTTCAAAGTTTATTTCTATTACTGTCTTTCAAAAACATTTCCATTCAATCCAATGTCTTATTTATATGAGTTATAAAGTTTTTATTTAAAACCACAAATATGCCTTTCTCCATTAATGTAGCTATACAGCACGATTATACCACCAAAAAAAAGTTTTGTTGCGGCTTCGGAGAGAATTTCAAGCTCTTTTTGTTGCGTTCGGAGAGAATTTCAAGCTCTTTTCTTTGAGAATCTACTTACCATTTTGTTTGGATTTTTTTGGTTTAGTTTAGTTAATTTTAGAAAGGGTGGTATAGTTAGGTCTTAGTTGATATATTAAAAAAATATTTAAAATAAAAAAATTAAAATTGATTTGATATAAAGTAGGAGAGTGATGATTTGGAGTGATTGTTAGTTAAAATAATGTGAGTGGATGAATAGTGAATTAATGTTGTGTTGATATGGTGTGTATGAATGATTGATTGATATTATTTAATTATATTGATAATCTATATATATTAATTACTAACTGATGCATTTAATGAAACATTTAATAAAACTTATTTTCATTTCCCTTCATAAGAAGTTACATTTTTATTAATTAATTACGCACTAATCTGCTAAAACCGTTACACCTTAATATATATATTTTTATTATTTATTTTTTGGATCAGTTACTAAATTAAATCTAAATTTGATAGCAAAATATTCAAATGTATAACGGCTAATGTTGGAACTTAAAGTTGATTGGCACGCTGTAACCGCTATATTTTGTTACATTGTTGGAAGAAAAATATGATTGACCCATATTTTTTTTTAAAAAAAATCAGAAACACCAATAATTTTTTTTATTTATGTTAATTTTCTTAATATATGCAACAAATATATAAATTATTTTATTCATGTTACTAATGTAAATATTGCATGGTTAAAATAAAATTTAAATCTCAATTAATTTTGAATGATAAAAATAACTTAAGAAAAAGTAATAATTTTTATATGATAGAAGTACATGTCTAATTAATAAATAGAAACAAAAACGTGTTTTATATCTGTGCAAATGCACAAGATCAAATACTAGTATTGATGATAGTGGGTTGAGTTAATATTGTGTTAAAAAAATGGTTGAGTTAAAATGTAGGAATTTTTTTGAAAATTCTTGTAAACATAGTAAGACATAACAATGGATCTTAACAATACAAAAGCCTGACAAAAATTAATAGGTCAATAAATGGGGAATAAAAAAAAATGAGGCAGGATAATTTCTACAAACATCTCAAAAGGTTGGCCAAAATTCATAACTATCCCTCTTCAGATGTTCTATTCCTAAAGGTAGTAGGTGTGATACAATTCCAAAATTATTTCTATTGATTCCAAATTATACATCATGTAACCGCATCGGAGCACTATAAATAATTTTCTCCAATTTTCACTCTCTTTCCATTGACCACACTCTCTCCCTTAACAAAGTAAATATCTAGTTTTATTTATTTTAACCAACTACATTACTTCTTAATAATACTCCCTCCATTTTGAAATATAAGGCATTTAAGGTTATTGCACAAATATTAAGGAGACATTAATTAATGAAAAAATTGACTAAATTAACCTTATTTACTCTAATCCCAACCACTCCACACTTCCTTAATTTCAACACAATAAGGGTATATTTGGAAAAAAATGCAAAAATTTGTCTTGATTTTTGAGCGCGCCTTATATTTCAAAAAAAATGAGAAATCTTTATACGCCTTATATTTCAAAATGGAGGGAGTAATTATTTATTTTCCATAAATAATTGATAATAAAAAAATATTAAAAAACGAGTCGTGTGCAGAAGAAACAAAAAAATAAACAATTTAGTACATAAAGAATCCTAAATAGTCGTAAAAAATTTAATTATTAGCGAATGATTAAATAGGTGTAAAAATTATTCAATATCATCAAATAAATAGCAAATAATTAGATAAGTTGTAAAAATTATTCAATATCATCTAATAAAAAAAAAAACTAGTAATTGTTTATTATTTATTTTATTGTCATGTTTACTAATTGTTGATTATTATTATTATTATTATTTTTTTGAAGGACCTAAAAATTGTATAAGGTTATTTATGGAGACTGAACATCCAAAAAAATGTACATACAAATTTATTTTTATAGATATCTGTTGAACTAGATATTTAAATACGTAACAATTAAATTATCTTAAAAGCAACACAAATGTTTTGTTGTTGCAACTTAAAAATTAATAAGAATATAAGCATCAAAATACAACAAATAATATAGGAAAAAAATATAAGAATAGAAAAAAAAAATAGTGCTTTAACAACAAATCAACACTATAACAATAATCAAGCAACATGGAAACAACCTCTTATCAACTGGAAACAACCTCTTATCAATAGAAAAAACCATATATCGTAGCTGATTAAAACCTACGTACAAGTAAGTGAATTGAAAGTGGCCACAGTCAACCCAAGAGCACGTGGGTGAGATGGTTGGGGTCTCTCCCAGCTTAACCAGAGGTCTCGAGTTCGAGCCCTGAGAATGCAGCTGTGTTAAAACTCTTGAGGTAGAGCTTTGCCGCCCTTGTGGTCCTACCCGGCTCGATTCCGGATTAGTCGGTCCCCTCGGGGATTCGGATACCGGAAGGTCGGCCATTTGTTGCAAGGTTGGAGATTTGAAAGATAATAGTAGGACTTGAGTCGACATCGTTTAGAGGCGCAACCATACACAGAATCGAGAAGTCACACCCGGCCGCCATCAAGCGAAATTTGTCAAATTAGGGTTACGATCGAAAAACTCCGCCGCCCCCAACGACCTTAGATGCCGGAAATTTTTGAAGGAGAAGGCCCGTAGCCAGTGAGTCGGTTCGAATTTGATAGTCTTGTTGAATCTAGTAATCGTTCTGTTATTATTTGATATTGTGAGTTGATTCTGTCATGAAAATTTGTTAAGGTGTTTAAATATTCGGAAATAAAAAATATTTTTTTGGATATATCATTGTCTTTGGATCTGCTTGAATTTTTTCCGAGTCTATTTTTAATGACATTGTGAGTGTTTTCTATCGTCTGGTGAATGATCTGTTTTCGTTTGTGAGAGGTTGGAGAATATAATTGATGTTTATATGGTGTTTAAATGAACTCGTCATTCGATTCTATTTGTGGCAGCAGGGGATTAAATGAATAGTTATCATGCGGGATCATGCATATTGGGATAAGTTTCAAGATATGAAGATATGATGAGAAGTTACACTAGTTGTTATCTACATAGAATTATGAGTTTCTGGCACAGGACAACAAAGTGTAATGCACATAATGTAGGTATTTTAAGCTAGGTAATCATATATATCACATCTTAGTTTATCTTTCAAATCTTTGACCTTGCAACAAATGGCCGACCAACGTGTGCGTGTGAAATGTTCGCAACTATGTTTTTTTTTTTTCTCAATTTTTGTTTCAGTTTGGTTATGTTCAGATTGGTGGCTCGGCTCGCGAGGTCGAAATACCGTGGATTGGAGGCGGATCTCAGTTTTGTTGCTCGTTGTAAGATGGCGATGACCATTGAATGTTCGGTTCCAGCATTAATGAATTTTTTTTGTCTGGGAGCATGAGCGGGGATGAACCGAGACACCGACGACGCTTTTAGTCCGACAACATGACTGTGACCACTTTCAATTCACTTAGTTGTACGTATGTTTTAATCAGCTACGATATATGGTTTTTTCTATTGATAAGAGGTTGTTTCCATGTTACTTGATTATTGTTATAGTGTTGATTTGTTGTTACAACACTAATTTTTCTTTTTTATATTCTTATATACTTCCTATATTATTTGTTGTATTTTGATGCTTATATTCTTATTATTTTTAAGTTGCAACAACAAAACATTTGTGTTGCTTTTAAGATAATTTAATTGTTACGTATTTAAATTATCTAGGTCAACAGATATCTATAAAAATAAATTTGTATGTACATTTTTTGGATGTTCAGTCTCCATAAATAACCGTGATACAATTTTTTGGTCCTTCAAAAAATAATGATAATAGTAATAATAATCAACAATTAGTAAACATGACAATAAAATAAATAATAAACAATTACTAGTTTTTTTTTATTAGATGATATTGAATAATTTTTACAACTTATCTAATTATTTGCTATTTATTTGATGATATTGAATAATTTTTACACCTATCTAATCATTCGCTAATAATTAAAATTTTTACGACTATTGAGGATTCTTTATGTACTAAATTGTTTACTTTTTTGTTTCTTCTGCACACGCCTTGTTTTTTAATATTTTTTATTATGAATTATTTATTGAAAATAAATAATTATTATTAAGAAGTAATGTAGTTGGTTAAAATAAATAAAACTAGATATTCACTTTGTTAAGGGAGAGAGTGTGGTCAATGGAAAGAGAGTGAAAATTGGAGAAAATTATTTATAGTACTCCGATGCGGTTACATTATGTTTAATTTGGAATCAATAGAACTAATTTTGGAATTGTATCACACTCATTACTTCTTAGGAATAGAACATCTGAAGAGAAATAGTTATGAATTTTCGCCAGAAAGTAATAGTAGGACTAAGGCCCAAAATAATCAAAGAAGGAAAAGTAATAGTAAGACTAGGCCCAAAATAATTAAAGAAGGAAAAGTAATAGTAAGACTAGGCCCAAAATAATCAAAGGGAAAGTAATAGTAGGACTAAGGCCCCAAATAAAGGATTATCCTTACGAAAATCCATCTAACCGCTCCACAAATTCATTACTCTGCAGTCTCTCTTATCTCTCTTCCCCCAATCCAATCCAATGGCATCTCTCTTGCTCGGAGCTCCTCCCATGGCGGCAGCAGCAGCAGCTTCCCAATCCCAATCCCAATCCCAATCCCAAGCCGTCACCATTGCCCCTTCTCTCTCCTTCTCCAATTCACTAACCCTAATTCTGTCCCCTCTTCGACTTTCATATTCAATCTCCTCCGCCCCACCTCTCCCCCTCGTTTACTGCGGCAGGGGTGACAAAAAAACTGAGAAAGGAAAGCGTTTCAGACACTCCTTCGGCAATTCGAGGCCCAAGAACAAAAAGAAGGGAAGAGGGCCGCCTAGGGTTTATGCGCCGCCGCTGCCGCCGAGAAAAGATAAGTTCGAGGATGATGATGGTGAGGATGTCACATTTACTGAGGAAGAGCTTCCCTTCGAATAAAATGGGTGATTCATCATTTGCTATTGTGCTTAATCTCCTTTCTGCTTTTCTTTTTTCATTTGTGAAAACTGAGTATCAGTGGTTTACTTCTTAAGCACACTTCACATTCAATATCTTGTTCGTGCCCATGTCTGATGAATTTGTGGGATATTTGTCTTTGGAGATCAACAGTAGGACTAACCAACTATTGAGTATTAGGATGGGGTCTTGAAGACCAGTCGCAATTTAATATTTATAAATGTGTAACGTAAGAAATTGGAATGTATAATACAAATTTTGATGGTCAATTTTGAAATAAGAGAAGATAACGAGATTCTTGCGCCCAATCAATTTTTTTTAATAAAATATTTATGCTAATGAAATATAAAAAATGTATATTTATTATTGTGTATATCAATTAGTGCGGATAAATCAACAATTACATATATCAATCATCAGTGTATATCAAAACTTCTATTCAATAATAATAATAAAAAAAAAAAACATATTTATATCACATGTGTATATCAAAACTTCTTTTCAATAAAAACATGCATTTATGCAGAAATATAAATACTTGCATATTTCTCAATTCTGTATATGAACTAATGTGGATAAATTAACAATTGTGTACATCATTATCCATCATCTGTCTGTATCAATTACTGCGGGTAAATGAACAATTGTGTATATCAATTTGCAATAATCCACGCCAACGCCCGTCGGTTATACACGATGATTTGGTGCTAGAAAACTAGCGATTTTCAGATTTCTTATTGCCTTAAATCTTCCAGACGGTAAGTACAAGAGTTTTAAAGAAGAAAAATACCAGAAACTGTAACTAAGTTCTAAAGAATAATAAATTAACGAAGCAAAGCTAATAAATATTATTATTGTTGTTCGATCTCTTATCTATTTGCCTTGGTGATGGACGAGGTCACAAGGGACATACAAGGTGATATCCCTTGGTGTATGCTCTTTGCTGATGATGTGGTGCTAGTTGACGAGAGCAGGACAGGGGTAAATAAGAAGTTAGAGCTGTAGAAGGACACTTTAGAGTCGAAAGGCTTCAGACTTAGTAGGACGAAGACCGAGTACATGACGTGCGCTTTCAGCACGGCTTCACATGATGATGATGATGGTTACGTTAGTCTTGACGGGCAAGTGGTGGCCAAGAAGGAGACTTTCCGGTATTTAGGATCGACGCTACAAAAAGATGGCGGTATTGATGCCGATGTTAGGCATAGAATTGCAGCCGGTTGGTTGAAATGGCGTCAAGCGTCGGACGTTCTCTGTGATAAGAGGGTGTCACAAAGGCTAAAAGGTAAGTTCTATAAGACGGCGATTCGCTCGGCGATGCTATACGGTGCTGAATGTTGGCCTAAAAAAAGGCAACATGTCCAACAACTAAGTGTAGCAGATATGCGTATGTTGCGTTGGTTCTACGGGCACACAAGAAGGGATAGAATTCGGAATGAGGATATTCGAGATAGGGTCCAACATCGGCTGAGGTGGTTCGGACATGTCCAACGGAGGCCTTCTGATGCACCGGTGCGTAGGGGAGTTCTTCAGCGGGTCGAGGGTGTAAAGAGAGGTAGAGGTGCGCCTAAACTCACTTGGGAAAAGTCGGTTAAGAGAGACCTTAAAGATTGGAATATCTCCAAGGATTTAGCGGTAGATAGGAGCGCTTGCAGGCTAGCAATCCACGTGCCAGAACCGTGACTTTTGTTCTTTTTTCTTTTGTTACAACCTCTTCCTTTTGTTTCGAGTCCTTTTTGTGTTTCTCTTACCATTGTTTCTCTTGGGTTTCATCTCTAGCCTATCCCAACTTGCTTGGGACTAAAGACTATGTTATTGTTGTATTGTTGTTCGATCCCTGTCTCTAAGCCGTGCCCACGCCTTGTCCAACCTATACCATTGGTGCAGTTTTTTACCAACCTATACCATTGCTCAACCTAGCTGACTTGATACTTCAGCTAGAACTAAATATTTGTTTTGACATTTTGTAAATAATGTTTGCTTGTTTGAAATTAACTAAATTAATTTGTATAGTTTGCAACAAATATCACTGACTATCTGTATTTTATAAGACAGCATGAATGAGTAGCTTTTCGTTTTTAACCTAACGAACAACCATTGAGGCAAACATAATATTTGTACTTCCAAATTGACAAATGAAACAGATAATTAGTGT